AGAAAACCTGCCCCAGCGCCACTTTGTCCACCACAAATCCCAATTGACCAGACCCGGGATCGAACCCGGGCCGCCGCGGTGGGAAGACAGCGACTAACCGCTTGAACTATGGCGCGGCCTTTACATACTTTACTTACCATTTTATTAAGGTCGCGGGTTCAAGTCCCGATGAGGTCATTGGGTTTTTTTCAGTTGACCTAATCCTTCCAGCCGCACTAGGCCCTGGGGTTCACTCAGCCTCTAACAGAAAAAGTACCAGGAATATTCCTGGAGGTAAAGAGCGGTCGGAGCGTAAGGCTGACAACCTTACCGCCGTCTTTGAGCTGATTGTCTATATAATGTGGGACCCTCAACATCTCACAACCCTATGGGCCTTCACGGCCTGGTACAGGGATAGCTTTACTTTTTTTTTTTTACTTTTTACCATTTTATTTTGGAAATGAGCGTACAACGACCGTGCGTTTGGGACCCGAAGTCCGGACTCTCGTATGTAGAATGAGAGTATACAACGCGAGTAAACGTTATGGATGTTTTCTTTTAAATTTAATGTCAGGTTAAGAGATGAAACACCAGCTTAAAGACGGAGGTTATGATAATGTGCTGCCTGATTAAGGCCGTCACATACCTGACCGAGCTCTGATGGATGAATATTGGACAATGTTGGAATGGTGATTAGCAGGGCAAAACAGCTCCAGTTACACTTTGTTCACCTGGGAATGAACCCGAGGCTCCGCCGATGGAAGCCAGTATCCAAGTACCTCCGCCTCTTTCGCGATGTCCTTTCGTTCAGCGTCGCTAAAAATATTTGGAAATGAATGGGACTTTGTGAGTAGGAGTGACGAAACTGCGTTATTTTTGTGCGAAAGGAATTTTGCATGTGAGCGGTTTCTGTGTGTCACGCTTCATCCTGTTCATGCAGACATAAGCAGACCTGGTTCTCCTGCCATGACGTCGGCTTCCGAAATACGTTTTATTGCTATAAATTTCACAAGGATGTACGAATCTTCGATCATGACGTTTTTTAATATTTAAAACCAGACACGTACTTTATATATCCAAATTTTTCCAAACGGTAAATGTAAATGTGTCCCGCATATGACATTTTCTGGGCTGTTGTGGACACGGTAAAGAACTTTCCGGTTTCATAAAAAACAAGAAGGTCTGAGAAGAAGTAACCGCGTACTTTCCTTTCACGACATGGATTGCATAGAAGACACCGCATCCAACAGTTCTTCTGTTGTTGCGTATGTATTCATTGCCGCAGGAACGTGTTTACAGAGCCGTTGACTAACAGCGGATGTCTCTTGCCCCATTATTCCGTCTTTCAGACGTTTGGGGGGACACAGACACCCAGACAGGAAGGTTATCTTGTAAGCTTACATTTATTTATTTGAAAATAAGGAAAATAGGCTAAAATGGGAATATCTTGACTAGTTGAGTGACTACTAGTTTCTCGAAAAATATTTCCTCCTTGGATTTCGTATGCAGGTTCCTAACATAGTCTAATGATGGGCTGTTGTGAACATGGCAACGAGCATTCAGGTGACATATAATACTCGAAATTTCAGTTGAGGAGCAACTGTTAGATCCTCAAGAAGGACTCAGCTCCGTGGAGATGTTTAGTTAGTTAGTTAGTTCATTAGCACGTAGTATAAGAATTACAACGTATTGGCAGTGGCTCCTGGCAGACACAAAACATGCATACAGTATTCCGATATGCAAGGAAGAGTCAGTAAATAGGTCACAGATGGAAGTAAAACAGCTCTAATGGCCGTAATAGGTTTTCTGTGTGTGTTCAGAGACTGGTTTCAGTGGTCAAAATGGCGACTGTGCTTGAGTATACTACCGAAGAGCGGAGTTATGTTATGCTTTTTTTTTTTGTGGGAGAAAGGACTCAATGCAAAGGTTATTGATAAAGAAATGTTTCCTATTTGCGGTGTGAAGAGTTTGTCTCTTAATGTGGTTCACAGCTGGCTGGCAAACTTTTCGCTGATGATGAACAGGTTGAAATGGAGGTGCGGAAGTGGCTCATCAACAGTCAGACTTCTGTGTTGCGGGTTTTGACTCATTGGTTAAGTGACGGAACAAGTGTATCAGTGTTGGAGGACATGTCGAGAAATACATTTTCTTTCCAGGTTCGAATATCACAGTTTTACGTTTTGTATCCATTTGTGTCATATTTACTGACTCTCCATCTTATTAGAGATTCCTGGACTGTGAAGAATACTGTCTTCTGGGGATGTGACTGTGGAAGGAAGCGGTCATGGCCTATCTAGTTGGACATTTGCCTCGAGGGACTGAGGAAAAGAACGAAAACTTAAGTCAAGATAACTACTGTCCTGGCTGAAATTTGAACAGAACACCGCCTGAAATCGAGTGTAGAGCGTCACCCCTATAAGCAAAAACAAATTCCGTGGCCTTTAGTTCACAAGCGAACTATACCGACCCAGCGATCGCCGCTTGTCGTCAAAGTTAGTGCCAACTTTAGCGAATAGAGGGTGTCGCGTGGTCAGCGCAACGGATCCCTACGGCCGTTAATCTCGGTTTTGTAGACCTGAGCCGCTATTTCCTTGAAGTAGCTCCTCAGTTATCCTCACAAGTCTGAATGGACCCCGTTCCAGACCCACTACTCAGAAAATCTGGTAGCGGGACCTCTGGATATGTAGCCAGGAACTCTGACCACTAGACCACAGAGGCGTCACCCCTATGTTAGGATAAATTCCATTAGAATGCTCCATCGTTCTCTTCATACGTTCTCGTTGTTTCTGAATTCTGCAAGAAGTCCAAATCCGAGGTAATGACTTCTCATAATGTCAGTGAACCGAAGCGCGCTGCGGCACAGTGGTCTTGAAATGTCGGAGTAATCAGACATGGTCTAGCAGTGAAGTCGTCTCTCTTTGCCCCTACCTCTGGCTCCAGGCCAGACGTTGCTTCATGTTCCTGCAAATAGATTTCACTGTTCCATTTGGTTCCATTTCTTTCCTCCTGTGTTCATCCAAGTTCCTGTTGTCATTGTCCCTTTTGTTTCATCTGCAGTAGCTCTGTGTCCTGTGACGAGTGACAGTGAACACACTTCACACGTCTGCAGTTTGTCTGGCTGTCAGCTGGCCCATGTTTGTGCCTTTAGGTCAGTATGCTCCACTTGTGGTTTTTCTGTGTGAGATGGTATTTTAGGATCCACCAATTAATTCAGAACTACTGGGCTTTCGAACTTTGTTGATTGTCCGGTATTCTACCGTAGAAACTGAAAAACACAACATTTCGGAAACTGGATGTGTTTCCGTCCTCAGGTAGGGGGCAGGAGACACCTACTCTTTTGGGTCCCTTAGAAAGAGATTCTGAAAGATCCAGTTTCCGAAACGTTGTGTTTTCTAGTTAATGGGGGAGAAGAGGAATGCATGTAGGATATTGGTAGGAAATCCAGAAGGAAAGAGACCACTGGGAAGTCCAAGGCGTAGGTGGATGGACAATATTAAAATGGATCTTAGAGAGAGAGGATGGGGTGGATTGGATTGATCTGGCTTAGGACAGTGACCAGTGGAGGGCTCTTGTGAACACTGTAATGAACCTTCGGGTTCCATAAAATGCTGGGAAGTTCTTGAGTAGCTGCAGAATTGGCGGCTCCTCAAGAAGGTCTCAGTTCCATCAGTGAGTGAGTGAGTGAGTGAGTGAGTGAGTGAGTGAGTGTGTGTCTTTTCTAGTTTCTAAAATACCGGATGATGGACAAAGTCCTAGAACCCCGTAATTCTGAGTAGTATACACCATCGTCAGAACCCTTTAGGATCTACTTTGATTGCTGGGGCCTGCAGTCGAAGCACTATGCTACAAGCTGGAAGGCTATGGGTTCGATTCTCAATTTCAGTTGAGCTAATCTTTTCAGCCGCACTATGGCCCTGGGGTCGACTTAGTCTCCAACAGAAATGAGTACCAGGAATCTTCCTGGGGGGTAAAGGGCGGCAGGTGCATAGGGCTGACAACCTCACCGTCATCTGTGAGCCGACTGTCTAGAAAATGTGGGAGCCTTGACATCTCACAACCCTATGGGCCTTCACGACCTCTTACAGGGATAGCTTTACCTTTATCAATTAATTGTCTTCGGGGTGTGACACTGTGTAGTGTGGCAGTAGAGTACCAACCTTCTGAGGTGCCTGGAAGATGAGATCTTCTGCCCTGTAAGTGGAGGAAGCAGGTTTCTGCAAATGGTCAGCTGTCGCCCAAAGTGCACAGCAGCACGTTTCAGAACAAAGTAATGTTTGTGATGTCATTTTAGCACTTCCAGTTCGTGAGAATGATGAAATGGTAACATTTGAGAGCATGTTTTGAAGGCCATGTCCTGTACTAAATGTATCATACACCACACCCTAAAATTCTTACGTATAATATTCAGAGTTCCACGAACGTCATATTGGAGTTGCTGGTAGAACATTATAAATGTTACAGGTTTTTGTTGGCTTTCTTTTTTAGACTTTAAATGTAACGAATTGCCAGATCCATTCAGATCCTGTTCTTCCGTGTGCTGTGTCTATTTTGATATGCCTTTTTCTTTAGAATTCTTGTGTGTGGGATTTTCGATGAACAAGGCTGTGTGTCACAGGTTTTCTTGGGGTACTCCCATTTTCTCCGAAATATTTTATACTATTAATTCCTTATAATCATTTTTTAGATACAGTATAACCTCTGCATTTGGTATGATGTCAGTAAACAAGTTGGTATTGTGGTTCAACAGAAGGTATTTATGTACGTATGAAAAGACAGAATGGAGTCTTTGACTAGCTGTCCCCCTTATAATGATAACTTTTTATTGTTATTTTTCATTAATTATTATGATCTTGAAAAAGGAGACTTTTAAAATCTGTAAATGCAATATCTGCATAAGTTTGAAATAAAGTACTGACATGTATGAAGTTGGTTTTGTATTTGTCTCTTATGTTTACTTATTCGTGTTCATGGAATTACATGTGTAGTAGCAGAAGTGAAGGATTGTTTGGGATTTGGTATAGGTGGGGATGAGTCAAACCCTGATGAAGAAGAAGATTCAACCCTCAAGTGCAGTGGCACGGCTTGGTCAGGTTCAGACTCGGCCCCACATCACAGGAGCAGCTCAACATCTGATTTCTCCAGTTCATCCCCTTCTGAGGAGGAGGGGGCAGAAGACTTTGACCCCTCTCCACACAAACCCTGCCTACATACTGAAGGTGTGCTCCCTTCCTATCCGAAATTTTTTAAAAGTTGAAGTTCTCATAGGGGGAAACTGAAGCATTGTGACAATTAAGGCTTAAAGACATGGAAATTTTTAATAATTTTTTGTACGGAATTTCTGATTGATCAAATTAATATTTTCGGAGTTTTGTACCGGATCGCTGTGTTTCATGCAACTGAACTTTTCCTCTGTTGCTGGCAGAAGGCTAGTCATAAACCTCAGGCGAAATAATGAAAGCCCTCCATGCTGCCTGCTTGCCCTCATGCAGTCACTTCTCTATTTATATGGTGGGTGTGTTGTGGTCTTATAAAACGGACAAGTACTCTCATTTCTAGGTCAAAATACTTCTACAGTATTGCAGCCAGATTTTTACATCAATGTTTGTTTAATTGGAAATTAGAAGAAACTGGAAAATTTAATGTGTAATGACCAGGGCCCAGATTTTGATGACCTGAAAATATTTAAAAAATGAACAAATAATCCAGAAAAATGACCTAAAATATGACCCAAAAATGTAATATGCAGGGCCCGGATTTTGATGACCTGAAAATATTCAAAAAATGACCTATAAAATACCAAAAAAAAAAAAATCCAGAAAAATTATCTAAAGGCGAAAAGAAAGAACACTTCGCTTCCATGTTATTCACATTTCAGAAAACATGAAGAAAAATTCCCCAAAATGGCCAAAAATGACTAGAAATACCCTTAAAAGTCCAAAAATTTACTAAAAAATTGCCCCCAAAATGAAAAAAATTACCTTAAACCTAAATATGTCAAAGAACTACAAAAAAATGCCTATAAAGTTTACATTTCTGTAACCAGCAGCTCATATGCGAGATTTATATATTTAAGAGCATCGCATAGGATACAAGGAAAAAAAGATGACATGTCATCAAAATCTGAGCCCTGATAATGACTTGTTACTGACAGTCCCAGTTTCTGTCACAGTAAGAGATAGAGAGGACCTTGCAGGTTTGAAGAGCGTGAGATTCTGAGAGTCAGGAAACTGAAATGTGAATTGCAAACTCGGCTGATTGTCACAACACTCTGTTGTGCATTGTTTGGTTCTTGCTGTTGTAAATTTTAACATATCAAAGGTGCACCCATGTGCCTAAACTTTATCCTTTCATGTACTTTATTTGCTTTGTTTACTGTTAAAAAAATGGAAGCCAGGATAGCTCAGTTAGTATAGGAACTAGGATATGGGCCGAACAACTGAGGAGTCAGGGTTTGATTCCTAGTAGGGGCAAGAGATTTTCTCTTCTCCACAGACTCCAGACCGGTTCTGGGGTCCGTGCAGCCTCCTGTATGATAGGTACTGGGGCCTGTTTCCCCGGGGCTAAAGCGGCAGGACCTTGAAGCTGACCATTCACCTCCATCTAATGCCCCATATGTCTTCACACTCAGGTGCTTTATTAATTAAGCCCAATGATAGCAGCGTAACCTACTGTTAAAATTATCTCTTTAATATTATATTGTTTAGAAATTTGGAGCACTTTAAATTTTAATCTTTACTCTCTGTGGCTTTCTTATGTCATGTCAGAAGTTTATACATATTGCAGTCAATGTAATTTCTCTTCAGTAAGTAATTTTGTAATTTAAAATATGTAGTTATTCATGGTGGGCAGCACTTAATTAAGTACATCGTACTTATATAATTTTGGCATGTATTTCATGTTTCATGAGCAGTAGCATTTAAATGCCCCCCTCCCCCACCATCCATTGAAATCAGAATCATGTATTAAGTATAAATTGCTAGTTTATAATGAAGCCATAAATTTAACTGCCATATAACAGTATTGTATCTTTAAATCATGGAATTCGAATGGACAGCAATTTGTGCATAATGCTTTTCTATATGATTTCTTTGAAAATCATAGGTCTTATTACCAAGTTCAGTTGAATTTATATGTAAGGCCCAACCATATAATTTATAATTTATTTTTCACGTGCTGAATTAGCATCTTAGGTACATTTAAGATAAGTGGAAACTGAATTAGTAACAAGTATTTGTTTCCCTTGGATCATGTGGCTCCAATTTGCCAGATCTCACAACTACAGGTTGTGACGAAGACTTCCAGTGGATATGCAGTTCCCCCGGGGTTGCGGGCAGTGGGAGGAGGCATCCTGTTAAGAATAGTAAGGTGCCAGATGCAGAGAAGAGAACCATAGATGTTTGTGCTCCAGCATCTGATGACAGTAGATATAATCACGAATTTGACTACGACCCCCCTCAAATAATGCACAGCCAGAATACTGTGACATCATCATATGAGAAAGCATCTGACAGGAGTGAAGTGCAGACTTCTGGTAACAGTGGATATGAATATCGCCAGCTTATCGGTGGAAGCAGCGAAACTTCTCACCGTAAGCCACCAAGACATGATTCTGGTTTAAAATCACATGCAGCCTTCGATAAAGCATCAAGTCTTGATCGGCGACGATATCATGGTCATAACAGAGCCAGTAGAGACCAGAAGGCTCGGTCATCTATCGTTCTTCATTCCCCAAGATTTCGCTCACCTGCAAGACATGCAAGCCCATCAGCTGTGGAGTGTCCCCACTACAGCAACGCATCATGCTACAGTGAAGCAGCGAAGATTGCGGTGAACCACGGCGTTTCTTGCTGCGAGTCAGCAGCAAGTCTCCTGCGTTGTTCTAGTTCTCATGGATGCATCCATCAGCCTCTTCGTCCTTCACTCTGCAACGACCCAGCTCACTGCTGTTCCACTCCTGTCCGTGAAGATGTGATGTCATCATCATACGATTCTCCGTTTCCTGAGATTCGCCACCACTGTCACCACCATGGTGATCTTCAGCGCTATGGAAGTTCTGGGAAGTTGGATTGTCATTCACGGATCTGTCATGGCATGGGCAGCCAACAAGACCTGGTGCTGCCGGGGGAGTGCTGCAGCGTGTTAGCGCAAGGTGGAGACTGCTACGGCTCTCACAGTTACCTCTCCACGTGCAACTGTCAGGCAGAACAGCAATGCAGACGGCGGCATGTACACAAGGTCAGCTTCAGGGTGGGTCAGTGTTATGATGTAGTAAGGCATGGCATTAACAATGTTAACACTGAAGAGTATAATGTTCTGGGTTGTGATGGCATGTGCCCAGGTCACTCAGATTGATGCTTGTATCGGACTACATGCTGTTACATCCCAGAATGTAGTACTTTTCATAAGCAGCACTGTAAGAATCTCAGATCAGCGAACTTAACATTCTTTGTGTTGAGGCGTGTTTGTTTCATTCTTTTCTACCTTGACTACACACCTTCCATTTGTATACTTTTAAGATTATTGTCTCTAGGGGGTGATACTTTGTAGTAAGTAGATATATACCCACATCTTGGAGGAACCAGCAGCTTCCATCGTCAGGGTAGAAGAATAAGCCATGTGAGAAAAACAATCAGACTTGTAGCTAAAGCTGAGGGCTAAGAGTGAACCAATGAAAGCAGTAAATTTGATCATTTGGCACTGAAAATGGTCAGAGGTTTAGATAGGAGGCGGATATAAACAAACCACTGGGGACAATGAATGTGATTCTTTGCTCTTGAAAAGGGCCAGATTTGTAGACAGGAAGAGAGAAAGAGTGATCCAGTGGAAGCATTGTCTACAAGTGTGGCCCTCTTCAGGGCTGCTGTGCCTTATTCACCACACTCATTGATCTGCTCATGTCTCAGATCCTCAATCTCTGACCTGAAGATGGAGGCAGCTGGATATTCCATAACATTAATAGATGTCCACTAGAATACATATGACGTCATATATCAGAAGATGGTAATCTTCATATTTGCTGCCGTGAGGACCGTCTCATACTGCGTACTTCTGACTGAAGAACAGAGTTGTCACCTACCCTTGTGATGTTGCTAGTCACAGCAAACTTAATTTTGCTTATCTTAGTAGACTGACGTGTGTTTTATAGCTGTCATACTTGTACATTAAAAATATGTTTTGTGTTTACAAAATAGGACCGCCTCTGTGGTCTAGCGGTCAGAGTTCCTGGCTACAGATCCAGAGGTCCCGGGTTCGATTCCCGGCGCTGCCAGATATTCTGAGAAGTACTGGGTCTGGAACGAGGTCCACTCAGCTTCATGAAGATAACTGAGGAGCTATTTCAAGGAAAGCGGCTCCGGTCTTGATAACCGAGATTAACGGCTGTGGGGATCTGTTCTGCTGTTTGTTTACAAAGAAATTTCTCCACATATTATGGTATACTTGTGTATGTGTTGCATTTGGACTCGGAGGTTTTGTCGCCTCTGGATTTGAAGTTTTTCCATGTTTAACGTTCACTTTCTGTGATCTGAAGTCAATAATTTGTTCTTTTGTAGTATTCCAATTCACCCTTTTCAAAAGAAATCATAAATGGGGGGGATTTCCCCATAGAAATGTGACCATGTATTCTAGAAATTACTTTCATGGTTAAAAATTGTGAAAATAGTAAGTAGCTATTACTTAAATAATATGAAGTGAGCATCAGTATGTTTTTGTCATGGAAGCTTACTCTAGACATAGGAAGTTAAAAATGACAAAGTATCCTTGATGTGTTTAGAGTGCAGTTTATTTCTTGCTTAGTAGTGCTTAATTAGTTGAGCACGGGGACAACTTTGCCTTATTTTTTTGCTGTGGTCTCCCTCAGGACTTTTTTTTTGCTTATGTTGTTGCTTGGGTATTAAGTACAGCATATGCTTGCTTTTGTTTTGTAGCTTAGCGGGTTCTCTCTGTGTGCTCTTCATAGAATTTTTTTTTTTAATTTAACAAAGGACGTGTGCGCGCTTAGAACAATTAACTTTGCTCTCCCAGAAGTGTTTCCAACTTGAAAGGAAGACTACATATTGCAGAGTAGTGATCACAGAATGTTTAATATATAAGTACCAAACAAACATAACATATTCCCATAGTTTTTTGGACCATGCAGGTTAGCATAGTGGCTATCCTGTCCGATTTTTCATGTTTACCTTAGTCTTTGCAAGCAAAAGCTTGTAGATAGTACTTGATTAGGCCATGGCAGTTTCCTTCCAAATCCTTTCAGGTTCATCGGTCATCCTACCATATGATGCTATTATAACCTAGATACTAATAGCATCGTTAAATGACCGACAGAAAACAACATACATCATTTTGACAATTTTCAGTCATCTTCAGGGGTATTCTCTGAAACATACTGTTTGCTTTAGTTCTTAAACTGTTTTATGTACTCTAAATATTCACTGTAATATAGTGGCAATTAATGTAATTATTTTACAACTTTTTCTTTTATTAATTCGCTTAGTGGGGGGTGGAGTCCAAGTTGGTCCACTTAGCATGGCGGCCATTGATTGGCCAGTTGTAGCCTGCCCCTGGTGATTATGATGATGGATGATTTCGTGGAATGAAGACTGGCAGGGGAAACCGAAGTACTTGGAGAAAACCTGCCTCAGCGCCACTTTGTCCACCACAAATCCCGCTTCACCAGACCTGGGATCGAACCCGGGCCGCCGCGGTGGGAAGCCAGCGACTAACCGCTTGAGCTATGGCGCGGCCTATTTTACAACTTGCTGATGATGTAATTAAAGCTTGTAATTTATTTTAATATATTGCCTTACATATTTCCATAGTTTTTCTTTATTCTAATGTGAATTTGTCACTGTAAATGATTTAATTTTAATTAAGGTGCACTTTGAAGGCACTTCACTTAACTTCCCATTGCAACTGAGTGAATGTGATAGCCTTTTGGAGGTAATAATTATCCAGACTGCTTCATTATACTCAGTCCTCGAATTTGAAGACCTGTTCAACGTAATGTGTTCTGTGGTACTTCATTAGGTCTGCAAATGTATGGTTACTGCTTGAAGAGTGTGCTTGAGTCTCAACTCCTATGAGAACCTGAAATCCTACGTGCAAGAGGCTGTTCAAACAAAATTTACATAGCGAGATGGTGCATTTCCTTTATTCAGCCTTGGTCAGAGAGCTGTCCCAAGTGAAGATGGACCATTTCTTTAACCAAGACATCCAGATATTTCTGCATCTTCCCCTCTTCCCCTCACACTTTTAAAAGTTCAAGGTTGATCGCATGTTGCTTTATTCATATTGTTGCTTTGATGACCACTCCTTGATTGAATGTTTGCGCAGTATGATGATATTGCCTGTGGGGTCTTATGCAACATGAAATAGAACCAAATGATTAATTACGTATGCAGCCATCACTATCAGAAGTTTTTATGCCAGTAACAGTTTTCTTCCACTCAATACTTACTGTCATGTTAATTATAAGTAACAATCACACACAGACTAGGTACAGCATTCTTTGCTTATTTCTGCTTAAAACTGTACTAAAATATTTATATCACATGTCTTTAATAAGCTCTTGACTTAATGTTTGTAATTGTGTGTGTGTATGAGATTGATGTTTCTGCATTATCGTCAGTGAATAACATAACCATTGTGAACGGTGACAGGACACTGAACTGACACCTTATATTTTGTGCATTGAAAGCAATAAATTACTTTCAGTTTTTAAAATTCAAAGTATATCATACCACACATCTGTTGTGTTGTGGCGAATATAGATTGCTGTATGCATTAAACAATATATTTTCTCCAAACAGCCATGAGAGAGAGCACTGAAATATAGAATAGATATGAATCACTTATGTATGAATAAAATACAGCCATATCATACTTGGTAATATTCAGACTATGTGACTATTTTGAAGCCTTTAAAGTACAATACAGTATCTAATCCTGTCTTCAGTTCAGCAGTGTAGGGACTGTGATTGTATTTAACAGACTCAAAAATAAATTTGATTTGGAGTTGTAAAAATAATTTGGTAAAATGCAAACAGGGGACCAAGGGGTACATTAAAATAATCACTTGTGGTAAAAGCACACACATTGGATATCAGGGTAAGATTAAAGCAGTTGCAGTAGATAGATAACCAGACACACAGATAGAAGAAGGGGACTCCCAAGTATTTAATTCACAGCATAAATTTTATCAGTGAGAAAGTCATGTACACAGAGAACTGGAAAATAGTAACGGTATAATGGATTAAGGAGCTCCATGGAGCAGAGTCTGCTTTCAGAAGCTAATAGTTGATCACCTACTCAAGAAATTCCTCACCTTTAATAAAGCCCAAAGGTTTGTTAACTGTATTAACAAGAGGCCGATAATTGGCCCATGCCCTGAACCACACGACTCCAGTCCATACCCTCCAACGTTATGACTTTAAGGTCCATATTAATATCCTCCCATCTGTGCCAGTGTCTTCCAAATGATCTCTTCAGGTTTTCCAGTCAGAATTCTCCTACTTAGACAGTTGACTCACAGATGGCTGTGAGGTTGTCAGGCTGATAGCCTGAGAAAATATTCTCAACCTTATTCACTGTGAGAGCTTCAGGCCTTGTTTAGTATGCCACCCTTTGCATGATGGGTATCTCTTCATTGTTTCAGCAGCCTCAAGTGAATGCTGATGTGGAGGAGAGGTTGCGACGTCTGGAAGCAGACAAGGATTCGCTCCAGCTCCAGGTGGCTGTGCTTACTGAACAAATTGAAGTTCAGACAGACAAGATATCAGACCTTGAGAAGCTGCTGGACGAGAAGAAGAGTCAGCTCACTAATACCGAGGATGTACTGCAGAGAGTAAGTGAAATATTTCTTTGAATATAAAGTAAAAAAGAAGTCAGAGAAAGAGAGTGGTTGAGCCATAGCAAGATCTCAAGTTCTTCATGAATGCAGTGTGAGACAAAGTGGCAACATCCGGACAGTACAAGGATTAGGAAGGATACTGTCTTCTGTAATATGACAGTATGTTGTCTCATAGATCTTTATTGATGTTTCAAGAGAACATACTGCCTCCATCATCAGGGTAAAAACATAGTGCTATGCTACCATAAAGATGCGGGCAGCAAATTCATCTGAAATGTCTGTCAGATTCTGCCTTACTACCCATCTTTTCTTTAAGAACTCTTTTAAGCTATAGCCTGATTTTAATGTCATTTGGGTTTGTGGGGGGGGTATGAAAAGTGAAACCTGTCAGTTGAAGAAGACAGTTTTCTCGGTTGTAACAGCTTGTTGTTTGGAGACAGCCCTTACATTTGAGAGGAACATATCCCCCCTCTTCAAGGTCAGAAAATAAACGAAGCAAGTGGAAAGTTAACCTAACCAATGAAATGTCAGGCTGTATCCGAGCCACGTGGTGTCACAACCATGAAGATGGTACTTGCGCTGCTCTGAGAACCTCAAATCCAACACGATGTATTGTCACATGATTGAGTGACTGTAGACAGGGTTTGGATTGGTAATTGGATTTATTGAACTCTTACAGATCCTTGACTGCAAGCAATTTTAACCTTGTCACTAATTCACACACTTTGCAGTTCACTAGAGCACACCCTTAAGTCTTCTCAATGTGCCATGTGTTGAGCAGTCTTCTTATAACGGCTTCCAGCGGTGGGTGTTCCCCTTCCTCTGGATTCCCAAACTGTCCCTGGCCTTAACTACAGCAACTCTTAACTAAATTCACTGACTGACTCAGTCACGAACCGACTCCACTCCACACTAACTGTCCTACCTATAATACCTCGTGACGTATCACATAGGAAACACTGCTTTCCATTATTGTTGTATAAAATTTTTGCCGTGGAATCGTGCTTGTTTGTGAAGGCATTACTCAGTAAGGGCTGTTGTAGCATTGCTTCTTTAGCGGTTGTTGCCTAGCAATGGGTCTACATGTTACAGTATCATTTAATTTTGAATTGGTGAGAGAATATTGTATCTGGATAACTTTGTGAAGGAGGTAACAGTAGGAGAAAAAGTACAGAGCTTCTTGATAGCCACATCAAGATGTTTGGCACAAAGGAAATTGATCTGGACATTTGTGGAAATGGTTCATCAGCCGCTGTCAGGTTCTTGAGAATATTGATGTAGTTAATTTCAGTGTAATTTAGGTACCTCATGCTTGTAATGTGCTTACTAGTTACTGCTCAAAAGAACTGCTTGGAAAGCTTTCATATAGCTCTCAATGCATGTTAGGTAGAGTGGATATGTCACTCGCCATCTGTGAAGTAGAAATGACTTTGTCTTCTTGAAGCTGCATTGTTGGAAACCATACAGTACGGACAATTCTTCGTAAGATGAGGCACCGACTATACAATTAATTAAGTTGCAACATCATGGGCCTCCTGTACATTCTTATATAAAAGAAATATCGAACTTCCAATTGGTCCATGGAAACATATGAAAAGTAAAAAATCAACGTCTGATTCGATGTTGTATAACATCAATTAAGTTTTATCTTGTTTTATACAATAACTTTTACACGTAGTTTTTATATAATCTGACTTATTGTATTTTTATGCAAAGTATTTTGAATGATTGATGACATTGTGTCCAATCTAATGTACAGCAGTTCAGTGGTATATGTTTGTTAATATGTGTTTGCCTGATGATGGCCGTTAGTGGCTGAAACATGTAGCGAAACCATAGCTGGGCACTAACCTTGATTTTTTCTGTTTGTTGTGTTATGACAGTCAATAAAAGAGTTGTATCTTATAAATTTTGTTATGATGTCAGCATTACAATGTTGTGAGCCAGATAACTCAAGTCAATATAGTGACTGAGCTACCAAACAGGCTGGCATAGAAGTAATTCCCTAGATTTTTATTCAGGAGGTGTTCAGTTCAATTCTTGGCTATGGCACCAGTTATTTGAGTGATGTTTTGCATTGTCTCCCATAGTCCCTTCAGGAACATGCCAGGATAGTGTCTGAATGAAGCCATGACTTCTTCCTTACCAATCCTTCTAACTTCAATCATTCATTCATCAGTCATCCTACAAGTTGATGCCATATAGTGTAAATATTTACAGTGTTGTAAAATAGCCAACAAATAAATAGAATGAAAGTGAGAAAAATTGCTGGAGAACTGGAGATTTGGGATTCAGTTCCTGCCTGCAGTAATCATGAGGCTTTGCGTTGTGAGGGTGAAAGTCAAATGAGGCTCACCATTGCCAAATGATAGCTCACCTGTGCTATAGGGTAACCACTCCTTTTGAAGTTCTTTTGATACGACTGTGAAGCTTATCGACTTGTGAAACGTGTAGCCATGTAGTCTGATAGATAGATACAAACATTTCAGAGGAACCTGTTACATTTTCATGCCCATTTAGTATGATATTTACCTTCACCTTGGAATATTTAAAGATAAGGAGACATCTGTATCCTGTATTGGTCACTTGTATTCCATTGTCATTATACTTAAATAGTAACTTTTATTTATTTGATTGAGACAAGGAATATGTGACTTTAACAGGAGATGAAGAAAGCAGTCTTCTGGGATTTGGCACCGTGTATATGTGGTGTTAACCGACGTTTCGGAGGAACGTATCGCCTCCATCTTCAGGATAGAAGAAAAAGTATAAGAAATCTGCAAGCGACAAGACCGTGAGACTCTGCTTTTACCGTTCTCACGGTCTTGTCGCTTGCAGATTTCTTATACTTTTTCTTCTACCCTGAAGATGGAGGCGATACGTTCCTCCGAAACGTCGGTTAACACCACATATACACGGTGCCAAATCCCAGAAGACTGCTTTCTTCATAGTCACCGCCGTGAAAGCCTCAAATCTTACTTAACAGGAGATGTTGTCCCGTTCATCGCTGGAAACACAAAAGCTGGAGCTTCTGTCAGCCATGTCAGAACTGAAGCTACAGCAGGCAGCTCTAGAACGGGATAATTTGGAGCTGCGAGATCGTCTTGGTGAGGAACGTCGTAGGAACAAACCTCCGGTAATACCACGCTCAACATTGTTAGCCACATCCACACCGGTCAGCTCCCAGCAAGCCTCGCAGGTAATGTGACATCCAGTCTTACTTCTTGCATGTGACTCGTTCTTACCGAGCAAGTCGGCTTGATTGGCAATACTTCTGACTTGTACTCAAGAAGGGGGACTGGTTTGAATCACAGCCAGAACACAAGCTGTTCCTGAGATTGTTTGGTGATTCTTCCAAAAATGTCTGGGAAAATACCAGGATTGTGTCTCAAACAAGACCACAACCTCATCATTGCCCATCCCTTCCAGTTTGTTATTCACATATTTTTCCATCTGCATCTGCAGATGGCTAGTCCAATGCTGCTTATTTTGTAGTTTTGCTTTTCCCAAAAGGAATTCAGTTGTGCCCTTTTATGCAAATATTCCTCTTCTGTTTAAAATCATATTGTAGCATGTGTAGCTGTCGCTATTTGACAACCATGAGATGAGCAGATATACCAGGGCCGTTTCTGGACAACAGCTCAGTTAACATGTTTCTGCAGCAACAGTAGAAGAGCTGTGTTTTCTTTGTGGTCCATGCCAAGATGTTATAAACAAGGGACATGGTTAGACCAAGTTCAGTTCTGTATGGGAGGCTGTGAAGAAAAAGTTATTTGCAAGAATGCAGCTGAGAAGAGAAGACTTTATGTGTGATATTTGGAGTTTGTAATTCAGTGAGACGGTTCTAGTTCCTGTGTTATAATCTCTTGCCAGGAAATGACTAGTGGAGACTGTAATAGACGGAGGACACTACTATATCTAACAGTGAACTGCAAATTGTGGAAATTTGTAGTACAACCTGTAAGTGGTGAATAAATCCATTCACCAATCCAAACCCCATCTGTAGTCACAAATACTACGTAACACTATCATAAGAAGATCACTGTCTTCTGGGATATGATGCTATATAGTCTTGTAGATGCTCACTGATGTTTCGGAATAGCATAATGCCTCCATCCTCAGGGTTTACATACACTGGGTTAGCCATAACTGGAAGCATGGATGCAACCACACCAGCAGTGTTCTGCTGCCTGTGGTTACATGTGCATGTTCTCAACTAAAAGCACTTCTCAGTTACGTGTAGCTCCTAATCACTGTTTTGCAGTTCTATGGAGCAACTAATTAATAACTAACACATTCACCAGTCACAGTATTTGCTGCAAGCCTCCTGTCCAATGGGTACTGGATGTAAAACAGGCGGGGCGTGAAGCTGACCACTCACTTCACGACTAGTGCCGAGGTCAAGAAAATGTGGCTCTATACATCCACTCCCCAATACACCTTCATGGCATAGTTGTTAATTGTGAGTAGTGAAGCACAGGGCCAACTTTACCTTTTACCTTTATGGTGAACTAACGGGATTGCCCCCTCCAGTAGTAGTAAGACTGGCCAGAGTACACAGAGAGATGCACAGTTATATGCTACCCTCACTCACACAAGGTTTCGTAACAGTTCTTATGCATCTAGTTGTACTGAGTTAACTACATAGGTCATACCGAAAGTCATGATCAACTTCTTTTTGCATACAACCTGGGAACAGCAGACGAAAGAGAGTACGGTGGTAGGTGGAACCAGCTGTTATGTTAACCTTGAGTGCCTTGTGACGTCAGTAGCTTGCATCACGTGACCAGTATCACTCCTAACAAAATGGCCAACAACCATATGTCGTTTCGCCAGTGTGCTGTCATCGAATTTCTTGTGAAAGAGGAAATCCCTTCCTGCAGAAATTCACCAGAGACTTGAGCGTGCTTATGGAAGTGTGTGCATGGGTGCGAGCAGTGTTCGAAGGGGGGTGAAACATTTTAAAGATGGGAAAACGAGCATCAAAGATGAACCTAGGAGCGGTCGTTCTCAAACAGCCTCAACTGAACGCAACAAGGAAAGAGTGGATGAGATCATTCAAGATGACAGGCGTGTGACTGTTCACACAATAGCCTGAAAACTTGGAATAGGACACAGTGCAGTACAGGAGATGATTGAAAGCTTGGGCTATAGGAAAGTTTGTGCTCATTGTGTCCCGCGGTTATTGACCGAAGACCACAAAGGTCAGCGAAAAGCCATCACCTCAGAACTGCTGCAGAGATATCGACACGATGGCGATGATTTTTTGCTCTGTATTGTGACAGGTGATGAAAGCTGGTTTCACCATTTCGAGCCTGAAACGAAATGGCAGAGTATGGAATGGCACCATTTTCATTCTCCATCAAAAAAGATGGCAAAGACTGTGCCATCAGCTGCGAAGGTGTTGGGCACAGTCTTCTGGGATGCAGAGGGGTTTATTCTAGCCAAATTCCTGGAACCTGCACAAACCATCAATGCTGCTCGTTATGTCCAGATGCTGCACAAGCTCCATCGTGCATTGCACAATAAACGTCCGGGACAAAACATCATTATTCTGCATGACAACACTCGTCCCCACGCTGCTCGCCTCACATTGGAAGCAATTGCAAAGATGGGGTGGGAGGTTCTTCCACACCCCTCCTATAGCCCTGATCTGGCACCCTCTGACTACCATCTTTTCGGATTTGTGAAGGATCAGCCGCATGGACAACGTTTTGAGACAAGGGAGGCAATTCAGAAAGCAGTGCGTCACTGTCTTCGGATAGCTGGAATGTAATTTTACAGAAGGGGAATTTTCAAACTATCAGAACGCTGGGAGAAATGTGTACAAAGAAATGGCCGATTATGTGGAAAAATAAAGAAAGGTCTGTAGATTGAGGTGGTGTATATGGTTTGTCAATAATAAAGCATGTTACTTTACAAGAAATTGTTGCTCATGACTTTCAGTACGACCCTCGTATATGTTCCTGCTTAAAATCGGTGGATTTCTACTGTAGTGCATAATATCACATCCAAGAAGATAGTAATCGTTATTGTCATCACTCTGATAACCTCAGATCCATTGTTTGTCGATGGATAATGTAAAACACCATAACGCCATAAACAGTGGCATTTCCTGCATGTTAGACACCCGCTGCTAGTTCTAGCAAGTTTGTGCTGACAAAATAATGCCACTATGACTGGATGGCAAATAACCAAAAAGGCCCACAAGACTTTTCATGTTGTAGCTTCAGGTTCACGTCACTGTGTAATGTAAGCAGTAAACACAGACAGAACAGTCACCTGAAGCAGGACATTTTAGAATCCTTTTCATCTTCCCTGTTTTCTGTAAATCGTTTCATATTGTGACCATTAAGTCGCAATAATCTGAACATGTTAAGCGGCAATGTGAATAAAACCAATTAAGAATTCCAGCACCAGTGATCGTTTTCATCGCCGTCTCTGAAATGTTATGTTAATTGTGACCATGTTTCGATAAAGTTTATCTGGTTTTGACTGATGGGCTATAAGATGGCTACATTTTTCATCATGTAGGGCAGAATTTATGCTTTCATGATCCCTACATGGAATTTTCTTGTTACTGTTGCTGCAAGATGGATTGTGTGCTCACAGCTACTGGGAGGAGTTTCGCCATCACCCAGTCCAGTTTCATCACTGTCTGAAGGCAGCCCACGTCGTCTGGGAAATCATCCAAATAGCATGGAAGACTTCAAGGACATTCCAGCACCTCGGGTAATGTTTGTACTATTTTTGTCCAGTTTTAACTAAAATTTGAATGCATTGACATCTTCAGTGCAACTCATCAGTATCACATTTCTTGAGAATCCATTTGATGATTCTCATGTTGTTACATATGGACAGATGACTAAACCTATTTGTGTGATCAGCACATGCACCTTCATCAGTGTCTGAATGGACCAGTAGGCCAAACACTGCTGCCGATGATTACAATGGTTAGCATCTTTGTATAAAACAGTGCAGGGCTAGAGCTTTCTCTTTTTTACAATAATTCTTGAGAAGTCAGCAATCTCCCTTTGAATAGATAGTGACGTCCTGGAGTAGGGGGGTCATGACCCTCATTTTGAGATATCATGGGTTATATGGTTATCTGAGAATTGAATGCGGCTGAATATGGCACGTATGCATGTTGCTGAAAGTCATCCTGCAGATATGCACTGTATTGTAATAACTTCTATTTCTTCCAGACTCCACCGGCAAATTACAGGCGTAAGGTAGAGCATTATGGTAGCCTGCCTCGCCAGCGTGTTACAACAAATGGTATGGCTGTCTCCCCCATGGATGGCATCAGTCCTGTAGCAAATGCTGCTGGCATGAGGAAGGGCGTTGCCTTCGGTAAAGGACTAGTTTCTTCATTCCTACCCTTCCAACATCCATTGCACCAGGCATCGAGGTTAAAGGTCTCCGGTCAAGACAAGAGTTTCTCCACACCCAATCTAGGTGACCTGCAGGGCACATATGTGCCATTGGTCATACCTTTCAGTGCCTGAATTGACAATGCCAATAACTGACGGTTGTTGTGCGTCTGCATGGCATGATACGGTATGGCAAGGCATGCCTGACCTTCCTCTCCCATGTCAGCTTCTCTGATACTCTCTGTTCTTGTCTGTCTCCACATTTCAGCTGTTATAAAGTGAGAGCGATGTGACACGGGGCAAGTACTCTGCATGGCAAGGGTAGAAATTTATGTACTTGTGAGGATATTGTCTTCTCGAACGTGACACTCTGTTGTCTGGTAGGTAAAGGTAAAGCTATCCCTATAACAGGTTCCGGAGTTTCATAGGATTGTGAGATGTTGAGACTCCCACGTTTTCTAGACATTTGGCTCACAGATGGCAGTGAGGTTGTCAGCCTTATGTACCGGCCAGCCACCCTTTACTCCCAGGAAGATTCCTGATGTTCATTCTTGTTAGGGGCTCAGTCAAACCCAGGGCCTGTAGTGCAGCTGGAAGAGTTAGGCTAATTGAAAAATCCAGTGACCTCATCAGGAATTGAACTAGCAGTCAGATAGTCGGTATACTGTTCATCCTTTAGTTCATTAACCACTTTCTTAGTTAATTATTTAGGATCACTAAGTTCTGTAATTTCTGTTTCTAATTCATTCATTCATTATATTACTTTTGCTCCCTCTGGACCGTAGGGCATCCGTAAAATGCTTCGTTTCACTTAAGTTTCTTAATCTTATACACTGTCAGTAGGACTCCTTGGGCAAGTGATCAACCTGTCGCAAGGCTGCCACCTACAAAGGACAACACAAACAAAATAAACCTATACGAACATCCATGCCTTAAGTGGGATTCTAACCCAAAACCCCAGCATTCGAGCAGCTGAAGACAATTGATGCCCTAGACTGCACGGCCACTGTGAGCTGCCTGTTTCTAATTCCCCATAGCTGAACCCTCTGCATAAATTAAGGCATTTGACCAATAATAGGTGTCACCAGAAATTCTTTTTCATAGAAAATATGCAGTTACAGAAAATTGTATTGGAAATCCCAGGGTTTGTGTGTTTACTTATATTTTCTTTATGTATAACTGATGCTGTGATGAAACTTCTACATGGTTGCATGCAGTTACAGAAAACAAGCTTGTAAGTTATCCATTGAGAAATGGCTTCTGAATGCTCGTATCACACTGCAAGTAACTGATATGTAAATGAAAATGTGCGTTTAAACCTCTACAGTACGTAATAAATGAAACATAATGGCTTCTGAGTAATGCAGTGAAAGTTTGTTACAGTGAATGTCTGTATTAAAATCGAGGCTTGTCATATAACATGTTTTTATTAAGGTTATATCCTTCTGAAATGTGAGACCATGTAGTTTGGTACTGATGTTACAGAGGGACATCCCACCTCCCTCTTGTAGTTGTAAGTCACTAATCACCTACATTTTATATTTTCTCCATTTAGTATTCAAATCTGCTGTTTTCTAAAGAAAGTAATCATCATAGTCCAGGAATGTGGGATTTAAATCTCCCTCTACCATTGCACTGGTGATTGTATCGTAACTAGGGCTAATGGTATTTATATTGGAAACATGACCCAGGGCTTTCTCGGACCAGCTGTGCCAACGTGTCATCACAATACAATGATGCATACACTGTAAAGGTTATATGGGGATCACGCTGAATATGCGTTATGCCTTATCTGCTTGAACTTGCTGTTGCATGTTTATGTTCGTTCATGTACGTAAAGCTAAGATGTTGGCATTAAATATAAGCATATATGTAATTGTTGATGATCGCTGTCTTCTCGGATGTGATGCCATGTAGTTTGGTAGATTGTCGCTGATATACTTCCTTTAACTTTCTACCCTGAAGATGGAGGCAGCAGGTTCTGCTAAAACATAGGTAATTATGTACACCACTGTAGAAGGGCATGGATTTAGGTTTCAGGACTACACTGCATCACATATTGAAGGTTTCTTTACTTTCTGGCAAACATTGCAGCTGCCATGTTCAGGGTTAATGACTTTGGAAGGGATTTTGTCAGCTCTTGGATTAGGCAGTGTATTAGAGGTGAAGCTGTGATTGGCTGAAAAGAAAAAGTGTGTGTTGGATAGCATCTTGTTCTGTTAATCTAGTGACAGCATTTTCTTTGACACAGTGCTTAATGTGAGAGCTACAACTGCCAAAATCCATTCCCAAAGTTATTAACCCTGAAGATGGCAGCTGCATTTGCCTGAAATTGCCCATCTCATTCTCTTTGAGTTGATCATTATAACTATATTTGCTGTACTCTTCACCAAATATAATTAGAATGATAAGGCAAGGAATAAGAGATGAGCAGTGCATGTAGCACACATGGGGGAGATGATGAACACATAGGATTTTGGTGGGAAAGCTAGAAGGAAAGAGACGCTAGGATGACCTGGATGTAGGTGGGATGATAATATTAAAATGGAACTTAATGTAAATAGGTTGGGATTGTGTGGGCTGGATTGCTCTGGCTCAGGATAGGGACCAGTGGACGGCTATGTGAACATGGTAATGAACCTTCAGGTTCCATAAAATGTTGGTAAACTCTTGAGTAGCTGGGGAGCTAATGCCTTCCCATGAAGGGGTCAGCTCGATAAGAGTGGGTTAGTTAAGTTGGAAGATGGCAGCTGCATGGTTTGCTGGAACAGGAATCCCTCGACATTTGACATAGCCTGATCCAGACAGTCAGGGCCACACATTAATATCCAGCAGCAGCAATATAAAGACAAGAACTGTTACACTAAGTTACATCCTAGAAGATGGTGGTCTTCATAGTTACCACTGTAAGAACCTCAAATGTCACATGGTTATTGAAGTTGATGTTATAACATGGAATGCGTACATTGAAAACAATGTTTTGTTACATTATTGTAAGTCTCTGTGTGTAATGGCACTTGCTTGTATAGTGTTTATCCATATTTCTGTTTTTACTATGTGATTTTCGCTTTAAGAACACTAACAGCAATAACATTTAAAATTTTTGCTTCTTACTATATATTGGTATTAATTATAATTGAAATGATGTAATGAAATTGAAATTAGTCACAGTATTTCACAGGTACAATTGATTGTGGTCTAATACATTGTAAACACAGTTGAAATCGATTCATGTCAATAAGACAGTCCTACAAAGTAACGTGACAATTCAGTAATGAGTTTTTCTATAGTTTTATTATTATTTTTATTGCTAGTGGGGTGGGACTAAGTCCCTTGTACTGCGGCCACTTCTGGCCTATTGTTCCAGCCCCAGATGATAGGTGAGGGTGATTGTGGAGCAATTGGTGGAATGAACATTGGCAAGGGAAACTGAAGTACTTGGAGAAAACCTGCCCCAGCTCCACTTTGTCCACCAAAAATCCCACTTGACCAGACTCAGGATCGAACCCGGGCCGCTGCGGTGGGAAGCCAGTGACTAACCGCTTGAGCTATGACGCAGCCTTTTCTATAGTATCTACCACCTGAAGATGATCAAGAATGTTGACGCTTGAAGTAGATCATGATAATAGTTATTACTATACATATAGCATCACTATAAGTTGTATTGGTATTCATTTCAATCTTAATTAATAGCAGTAGCATTTGCTTGCTAACTGTATAGTAATTCTTTTACAGAAATTTCCACCGTCTGCATTAGCCACATTGTGTATTGTCTTTATTGTATTGTGATTCACATTTGTGGTTGTTTTGAAGTGTCTTTCCTTTGATCTCAATTGCACATTGTCTCATAAGAGATGGAAGGATACAGATGAAATTTCACCCCAGAAAAGTGTAAACAGTTTCGTGTAAGATGTACTCCATTTTTAAATTTCTTATTGAAAGGAATGCTGTTTTGATCCACCCTGTTAAAATTTAAGGCAAGTTAATTACGTACAGCATTACCTCATTCTAGCTACCGAGCAGATTGACATGGCAGTACCTCTGTATAGACTTGTATCGCAGAGGTACCCAGTTTAAATTTTTTCGGTAACACCAACCTTCATGACATTCTTCACAATTTTCTGCAGTCCCTCCAGAGGAATGCCTGAACAGTACATCATATAGGCCACAACTGCTTCTTTCCACTTCCTTTTGATTTCCTCGATTATCCTGCTGTTTGGTTCTGTACAGTCTGTATATGGGCAGCATGAAGATAAGCCATGAAAACATCTTCCCTAGCTGGAGTGAAGTTATAAACAGTTGTCACCATCTGTGTGTTATTAACACAGAATATACTGAACATGTTAGTGTAGGGCAACACTCTTCACTTACATTTGGAAGGTCCTCTGTTCAAATCTCCTTCAAGACATCACCTATCCTGACTGAAGTTTGTTGTGGTCTTGCTCAGTCCATTCGAACAGTTGCCAGAATAATACCTCAGTTAGGCCATGACTGCTTACCAGATTCTTTTTGGTTCATCAGTAAAGCTACCGTTCATTGCTATGTACATAGTAGCATCATAAAATAATGCCAAAAGGAAAACGTACAGTAACGCCAGCCCTGGGATGAACTGTATAATCAGTTCCCATATTGTATGTCTACCTAACAATTATAAAAGGTGTCCAGGAGGATAGGTCAGTATTCTGGGAGGTGGTAGTATTGGTCATTCCGAGATAGAGCTATTTCACTGTACACTCTACAGACAAGCAGCACGCCATGTCCTCACACGAGTTGCACCGAGATAGAGCTGTTTCACTGTACACTGTGCAGATGAGCAGCACGCCCTGTCCTCACACAGTTGCACCGAGATAGAGCTATTTCACTGCACAGTACACCCTGTACACTGTACAGACGAGCAACACGTCATGTCCTCACATGAGTTGCACCGAGATAGAGCTGTTTCACTGTACACTGTGCAGATGAGCAGCACGCCCTGTCCTCACACAGTTGCACCGAGATAGAGCTATTTCACTGCACAGTGTACAGACGAGCAACACGCCATGTCCTCACACGAGTCGCAAAGTGCATTGATGTTGACAGTTGAAATTTTGAAAATGTATTATACTAGGTAAACTGTACCAACTTCATCACTTGAACAATAAATACTGGTATTAGAAATGGTACATAATATCTCTTTTTATCAAAAGTTTTGGAACTGTACAGTGAAATAGCTCTATCTCAGGAACCGTTTGGAATAGGACACTTTTTTTATAGAATGACCAATACTGTGACTTTTCCTGCTTGGACACCTGTACGTGGTACATGTTGAAGTTCCTGACCCACAGCTTTATGTCTGCAAATTGATGGGTTTATCCATAAGCCATGTCTGTGGCATGTGAGATTTGAGGTTCTCTCTGGGATGTGATGCTAGTTTGATTGAGTGTACCAGTATTTTAGAGGAAATTATTGTCTCCTCTTCAGGCTTGAATAATATGGCGAGAAACCAAGCAGATCAAGCCTAACTCAGAGAAACAGGCCAGATTAGGAACCCTGAGTGAACTCCTGCCTGTTCACAAGATACTGTCCAGTTCTGTGTATACCTCCCTTTGCTCACTCTTGCCTCTGTCCTCCCATCTGTCTGGTTGATCACAAAATGGCCCATTTAAGGACCTTGATTATTTCTATCATCACCCTGCTTCCTGCTTCCGTTGGTTCATTCAGGGCTCGCCCCACAATCTATATCGGCACTATTTGTCCCACGCTCTGCTTGCTTTGCTTGTGTTCTTGCTGGTTGCTCGGTATACTCTTCATATCCTGAAGACAGTCACAGTGTGTTCCTCCAAAATAGTAAAAGTTCCACCAGACTACACAGTGTCACATCTGTGATTCTGCATGGTGTCCAGTTCCTGTTACCTTGTACACATCTTTTGGATATGCACTTTAAATTAAAATTGGTCAGAATTGATTTGTTCAATGATTTACAGCTGAGACAGAACGGGTAGTTATCGAGGATGTGGTGGCATCTCCATCAACGGACGTTGTGACAGAAGAAGAGGTAGACGAAACGACAGGTTCGCTTGGACTTTCACCACAGCCAAGTCCTTCATTCCAAGTTGGCAAGAATAAAGGCATCAAGAAGATATTTGGACGGTGAGTTAATTTTCGGTTTTGATTGGCTTGTTTTAACCACCATCTATTGCCGTGGTCAAGAATGGTGGAGCTGTATGTCTTTGTCTTCATGGTGCATTACTTAATTTATTGGGCATGGGGCAACTTAAACTCTTTTATTTAATGAATCTTTTTCGATTGGCTTATCGTAACATTTCATGTTCAGTATTGTTTTATCTTTACCTGTTCTGTTGTGGATTGTTTGTCGTTCTACATCTGGAAGTCACATGAAACTGTAACACTGATTCATCAGACAAAATGCCATGTGTTTGGCTACTTTTCTGTGTTTTTTATTTATATTTACCACATATTAATATATATATATATTATATATTGTAATGAGTTTTGCCACTGAAGACGCCGTTCAGATTGTTAATTAGTTTATTTAACAGCCTACAAGTCGTAACTACAAATACATATAGGACTCTTGTGGGTTTAGACACTTTACAAACCCTGCACAATATCTCTTCACACTATCTTCAATAGTCTTCACTTATTCACAGTACAACACAGGAGCTATACAAGTGTCACCGTATTATACACTCCCAATACCTTCTCACACTATCGCCTCTAAACACATGTTCCATTCTTGTTCCCGTGACTGCTGTGATATTTCAATTGACTGCTTGTGACGTCTTCACATTCACAATTCACTCCCTACAACTTAACCCAGTGACTGATAGACTTCAACTGTCTTCGGCAGCTGCTACATTTTAACTCTCTCCTTACACATTTCAGTCTCCCTTATAAACCCTCAGTCAGACAGCAGAAAACCCACATCGCTTCAGTGTTGCCTAAATGCAGTGTTTAAAGGCGTTGCTGGGCAATGCTACCAAGAGTTGTTTATTGCTGTGTAGCAACCAGCTCGCTTCCGCTCAGCTCACTGCGGCTCTACTCGGCATGGCATGGAGAAACACCGCTTTCCTTACTGTTGCATAACTTTGCAACCAACCATTTATCAAGGGTCTGTCTTCGTGGTAACTCATTCTACCTCCTGTTGCCCAGCAACGGTTAGACATGTCACACTATGTACCCTCAGAATTCTAAACCTATTTTTGACCCACCCTGTATTCATTCATTCATCAGTAATCTGTCAGACAACAGGTCCATAGTCTCTTCCAAAACAGTTTCTCCACTTAATACGATCTCAAGCTGACTCCTTCAAATAAGAATATCCTCTTCTGTCCCCAAAGTCATCCAGCATCTTCTTACGTCTTCTTCCTCGTCTTCTGGTCACTTCTCGCCGCTCCTCCGGTTTGTTTTGTCTCCAGAGGAAACATCTCACATACATGGTAGCTCTGTTTTTGGAAAGAGACTATCCAGGAAAAGTGATAATGTGGTAGTTTTTCCATTTGCTTTCCACATAGCAGTACAACAGCCGTTCAAACCGCCCTGGTCACGCCTGTTGCTGTACGAACTTGAACCATCTCGAGCATCACTTGCTCTGTGCTTCAAGTCGCTGCTGATGATGATGCTTCCATCATCAGTTTTTGGTTTTTGGTGTCTCTCTTCGTCTTATGCCTACCTTTTGACCTGTGCAGCAAGGGAGGCCGTGCCAGTAGCTACGCTACTGCTGGTATAGGTCTCAGGGTCCTTGGCATATTCAAACCCCCTCACCACGACAAGGTGAGACACCAGTGAGGGGGCACCCTGTATATATACATTTTATTCTTGCAGTATGAAACGTAGTGGTTCTGGTAATTTGGATGATCTCCCTGGGGAAGGAGAATTCAGCCGAGGAGGCATACGAGCTACTGCAGGACCAAGACTTGGTTGGACCAATCAGCCAGTTATAAAACCAAGGTAGGTTAGACTGCTCATGTGACTCAGTCTCTCCTGTACCAGACCTGGAGTTGTGATCTGTGGAAAATACAATAAAGTGTTTCCCTATACGTGTACTGTATTAGTTAAGCTATGTGGCCCAGTCTGTATGGCGACTGGCTGCAGGGTAGATTATAAGTATTCTTAATGCATCGGACAGCGTGACAGTTCTGTAATAAACAAATCAGTACTACTGTATTAGTAATTATTTATTGTGCGGAAGTATTGCTACATGTTGCAACCCTGTCGGGTCATCATCAGGCAATCGGTACATGAATATGTCACTCATTATAGGATTATTTATCAATGTGAATCCAGATCAGTGATTTATAAATTTTCGTTCAGTTTGCATTAAATTTTTAAATGTTAAATTTAAATCATAAATTTCATTTAAAAATAATATAAAAAATATAATTCCGTTTAGCATAAAATAAAATTTATAATTCCTCAGATTATTTTTCTGACATAATGGATTTATGTCGTATAGTATGGGGCTTCCTTAGGAGTCGGCAATATTAATTTTAATTTCATAGTTTTATTTTTCTGACATAATGGATTTATGTCGTATAGTATGGGGCTTCCTTAGGAGTCGGCAATATTAATTTTAATTTCATAGTTNAAAAAATATAATTCCGTTTAGCATAAAATAAAATTTATAATTCCTCAGATTATTTTTCTGACATAATGGATTTATGTCGTATAGTATGGGGCTTCCTTAGGAGTCGGCAATATTCGTTTTAATTTCATAGTATATCTGAAAGCAAATTATCAATACATTATTTCATTTAAAAATTGGTTTGTTTATTATAGAAATGTTGTGTTGACCGAGGCATAAGAATACTATATATGCTAATAGGATGGAATGTAGTGTAATGCAAAATAAAAACAGTAAAGGTAGTTGATTAATTTTCGATTTCTGGCAGTAACAGGCATTTTTCTTTCTTCTCTAGCTTGCTTCTCCCACCTCCATCTTTACCCCACTCTGATCTTGTTTTTAAAGGCATATTGTCACTTGAGCATTGCCATGTGCTGTGTCTAGTAACATCGGGTTTTGAGAAACAGGGTTTGAAGTCAGGGAATCAGCTGCAGTTTAAATGTGATGTAGAACAAACACATTCTGAAATCAGACACTTGCAAGCAAGGTAGATTTCTGGAAGTACATGGAGAGATAGTGCAACACAATACAAACAATTGGAAAAGTGAATTATTTCAGAAGTATAGATAAAATATTCCTATACTCAGTTTTTTATGTGCTGCATGCTCTGTGTGACCGCCTCTGTGGTCTAGTTGTCAGAGTTCCTGGCTACATATCCAGAGGCCTCAGCTTCGATTCCCGGCGCTACTAGATTGTCTGAGAAGTAGTGGATCTGGAACAGGGTCTACTTAGCCTCATGAGGATAATTGAGAAGCCATTTCAAGGAATTAGTGGCTCCGGTCTAGAAAACCGAGATTAACAGTCGTGGGGATCCGTTGGACTGACCACGTGACACCCTCTTATCCCACTAAAGTTGGCACTAATTTTGCCGAGAAGCGGCAGTCACTTGATCAGTATAGTTCGCTTGTGGACTACAGGCCATGGGTTTTTTTTTTTTTCGTACTCTGTGTGCAGCATTCCATTTGTTTGTTGCTTGCATGGTTTACTCTTAAATTCGGTATACAGGGGCAGTGTGATTCTGGAAGAACTCCTAGTAGATCACATGCTGTTACATTCCCCATGATAATACTGTTCATAGTGACCACTATGAACCTCAAATCTGATGAATTTTAAGTCATTTGTATAGTTTCAGGGGCCTCAAACTTTTTTCACATTATGGGAAACTTAAGCTCAAATGGTTTGGGAACCACTGGTATAGATGTTCATATCTGATGGATGTTGTAGGCCAGACCGGCCCTTTGCTGAATGGGACAGTGAAGCCATCTGTGGATGGATGCAAGAACTGGGGCTAGACTGCTATGCAAATGATGCCAAACGATGGGTCAAGACTGGCACGCACCTCTTGCAAGCTTCAAATCATGAGCTCGAAAAGGAACTTGGAATTAAGGTACATAACCTGTATATGTCGAGGAACATAGTTCCTGATGATGTCACTTTTCTGAAGTCATTATAGTAGATCCGTATTTGGAAGTAGTCCCAGACTGGATGAATTATTTATTTTTTTGATTACTGTTTATCACCTGTCAGCAACACTATGGCCCTGGGGTCAGCTCAGCCTGTAACAGAAACAGGAATCTTTCTAGGGGTTAGAGGGCGGCAACTCCCTCTTGATCTCCAGTTACCACCCTTAGCTTAATTTTATGCGTTCTTTTGTTTACATCAGTTAATGAAAGGTATTCTTTGGTCAAAGAAAGATCACAGAGAAATGTGAAGTGCCCAGTTCTTGATGACATGTCTAGTACAGCCTATGCTGAATCTTAACATGTAGGAAATACAGAACAGCTTACCCCATCTTAGAAACACCATTATTCTGTAATGCTGGGCCCAATGGGGTTTGCTGAACCAGAGCATGCATTGGAACAGTTGTCTGATAAGATCCTACATTGAAGGTTAAGGGTTGGGTATTTGGAGAGACTATCAATGCATGAATATCTCCTACAGCATCCAATCCACCGGAAGAAACTGCACCTAGCCCTACTGTCGCAGCAAGGCACAGTGGCGACTCTGGATCCGCATCTTATCCCGGCTGGAGAGCTGGATACAGCGTGGGTATTGCGATGGTTAGATGATGTGGGGTTGCCACAATATAAGGAGACATTTCTGGCTGCCAGAGTTGATGGAAGACTTCTGCATCGGCTGACCATGGATGAACTGGCAGTACTGCATGTGACATCACATCTCCATGTAGCGAGTCTTAGAAGAGGAATCCAGGTATAGAAACAGTTATTTGAATCTTGAAAATAAATTTTGAAAGGCATTTTGTATAGTCACTGACCAGTTGACCAAATCTATCTGTGCTTTATATTATCAAGGTGAATTCTTGTAACTGACTATCTACCCATATCGCAACAGTGTCTCTTAAATTTATTGGCTAGTATGGAAGCATTGAAAATTGCAGGCAAGCGAAAATGTACCTGTTAGTAAGTTTAACAGAAACCAAAGAGTTTTGTCTTCTGAGCTATAATGTTTTGTAATCCACCAATGTTTCAGAAGAACATGTCAACATGTTCTGCCAAAACATCACTTGACTTTCAGTGGACTGCATAACATTGTAATCCAGAAGAAAGCACTGTTCATAATCACCACTGGGGGCAACCTCAAATCCAGTATCAAAAGAAATTATTGTGATAAACATGAGTAATCAGTTATAAGAAATAAGAGTAATATCACCAATAGTTTTTAAGGAACCTCCTGCATCCATCTGTGCCCCTAAAGGTTGAGGTAGCAGGTTCCTTCAGAGCTTCAATAACCACCTACAAGTCTACACAGTATCCTAACCCAAAAGACCACACCTTACATAATTCTTCATTCATGTTTGTCTTACGTTTAAGGTGCTGAGGAATAACAAGTTTGAGCCAAACTGTTTAAAGCGACGGTCCCTACCTGACGATCCACAGCAACCAACAGCGCAGGATGTGGCTCTGTGGACAAATCACCGTGTCATGGAGTGGTTGCGGATTGTGGACCTTGCAGAATATGCCCCAAACCTTCGAGGCTCAGGTAATATGTTCCTTGATTGCATTATGAGCTAAAGTATTCATTTTAATAAGTGGCAGTTACATCGATAGATGAGAAATTATACTGTCCATCGAGTGTGGTGAGTTGCATCCAGTTAGCCTGAGATTTGAAGATCTGATGGCCGTGCCTCTGAAGGTAACTGTCTTCTGACATGTGATGTGATGATATTGATCTGTACCAGACTACATGGCATCATGTCGAGAAGACGCCAATCATCAGTATATTTTATGTTAATGAAATTCATATGTCCTTCTCACACACTTATCAGTGATTTAACAAATTTGACATCTGATAAAACCAATTTTTGAACATGACACTAAAATTTCATGTTACAGATTGTCGTCTTTGGTGAAACAAATAGTCTCGTCAACTGAACTTGTTTAGAAGAGGAATGTCGATGGAATATTAGATTTTTAGATGTTAATACATAAGGATATGCTGATAGAAATAAGCGGTATTTGGACGACAGACAGTCAGATTTTCTTGGAAGGTGTCTATGTTATGCAGATGTTCGACATCATGTTACATGTCACTGCACCTCTCAGTATGTTACTTATCCCAATGCAACAGTCTTAGTCACAGATGACTTCACACTTGCTGTATTTCAAAAACACTGGCAGGTGACTTCGCTAGTGGTTGCCTAGATCTATCAGGAAGTTCACTGATGGGTCTAGGCAACCATTAGCAGAGTCGACTGCTGGTGTTGCTACCAGGCTCGCTGTTCCTGTGCAGAGTGAGCCTGATGGTGTTCATCCTCGGAGACTAGCTCTTTTTCTGCTGTCTTGATGTAGGCATAGCTACAACTGTGGCTAGCGTGTCGGAGGTCCGCATCTTTATACATTGTCACTAGGCAGTGCACGAACCTATGGGCGCTGGAGCTCCTGTGGTCCACAATGATTGGCTAGGGCTTAATTCAATGTGGGTGGCTCCCACAAGTTAAACAAGCATTAGTTTATTACAGTCATCACCAAGGAACCTTAAATCATATGCAGTAACAGAAGAATAAAGATGACTGTCTTCTAGGATCTTACACAATGCAGTCATGTAGATATTTACCAGCATTCTGGAGGAACCCGCTGTCTCCGTCTATAGGGTAGACTAGTCTTCAACACTGATGATGAGGGCAGCAGGTTCCTCCAAAACGTTGCTTATGATCTTCCAGTCTATGTGACATCACAATGCAGGAGATGATAGTGTTCGTACTTACCACCATGAGAACCTTAAATCTTAGTTTGTGATGAAATACTTGTTCTCTCTGTATGGTATTTTCCACCATGAAATGTGAAAATTCTACCCTTATTCCTCCCCTTGCAAGAAAACACTAATGCTATTGCTTTTTGTGAAGGGGTTCATGGAGGTCTGATGGTTCATGAGCCACGTTTCACAGCTGAGCTGCTGGCCAGTTTGCTCTCAATACCACCCAGCAAAACCTTATTGCGACGGCACCTCAATACGCACTTTAAAGAACTCCTGGGACGTGAATGTATCCAAGAGAAAAGGGAAGCTGAGGCCACTTTAGGATATGTTCCTCTTTCTGCAACCACTAAAGTTAAAGTAAGTACTTTACTGTGGAAGTTGTTGTAAAAAAAGAAACATCCTGTGTAACTGTGAGGCTACAGGTGCATCAAATTTCTGTTACTTTTGGAATTGATTTTATGAAACCAAGTGACCATTGAGCAGTGTACCACACTTTGTAAGAGATGCAGGACTGCCCCTAGCTGATGTCACATAAGATTCATGGTGGTCAGCGTGGTGTCAGAGCAGGTTATACTTTGAGTTTCTTCAGTTTCATCCCCCTAGTCATTTTTCTGCCATTGCTCCATACTAGTTTGTCACCACCCTCTGAGATGTACAAGGGCCTTGACCAGGCACCACATTATCACATCTTCATCTTTTAAGTTGGAGGGCTTTATATCTCGCCCTGCACTTCTCTGATTATAGAGTGAGGAAGTTGAAGTTTTGTAACTTTATAAACTATTTGTGCAGGTGACAAAGAAGAGCCAGTTCACACTGAAGCGCAAGAAGTCAAAGTCAGAGTTGGACTTTGGGGACTTGGTGTGCCCTCTGGATCCCAACAAGTCAGGTGAAACACTGCCTCATGGTGATGGCGTAAGTCCAACTAACCTAACCATACTAACCTAGCTAACATAAGCACTGTGCTGCTCAGTTGATCGTATAAGGACAGAGAATTCGTAAACTCACCATTTAAGCAAGGTCTTAGCTTCTTGACATGCTGAAGGGTGTACTGGTACTGAAGCTCCTGAATGTGTTGATGTATTTGCAGAATATACAGGGTGTCCCAGGAAGAAAGGTCAATATTCTGGGAGGTCATAGTATCGGTCATTGTAAGTAAAAAAAATGTATATATACATGTGTCCTATTCCGAACGGTTTCCGAGATAGAGCTATTTCACTGTACACATTACAGACGAGCAACACGCCATGTCCTCACATGAGTTGCACCAAGATAGAGCTATTTCACTGTACAGACGAGCAGCACACCATGTCCTCACATGAGTTGCACTGAGATAGAGCCATTTCGCTGTACTGTACACTTTACACTGTACAGATGAGCAACACACCATGTCCTTACACAAGTTGCACCGAGATAGAGCTATTTCACTGCACTGTACACTTTACAGACGAGCAGCACGCCATGTCCTCACACAAGTTGCACTGAGATAGAGCCATTTCACTGTACTGTACACTTTACACTGTACAGATGAGCACCACACCATGTCCTTACACAGGTTGCACCGAAATTGTGCTATTTCACTGCGCTGTACACTGTACAATTTACAGACGAGCAGCACGCCATGTCCTCACACGAGTTGCACCAAGATAGAGCTATTTCACTGTACAGATGAGCAACCCTCCATGTCCTCACACTGTTGCAAGGTGCATTGATGTTGATGGTGGAATTTTCAAAAAATGTATTTTATTAGGTAAACTGTACCAACATTGTCACTTGAACAATAAGTACCAGTATTAGAAACAGCACGTAATATTTCTTTCTTATCAACAGTTTTGGAACTGTATAGTGAAATAGCTCCATCTCGGAAACCATTCGGAATAGGACACATACATACACAGTTTTTGTTTAGGATGACTGATACTGTGACCTCCCAGAATATTGACCTTTCCTCCTTGTACATTCTGTATAGTGTCCAATGGTGAGATGTTAGAGGAATGATGAATTGGGAAGGACTTGATAGAAGGTGGTCAAGGTCTAATTGGTGTACCTAACATTTGGCTGGAAGAACCAAGAAAAATCACAAAAGACCCTCAGTCAGTGTAGTTGTTTCAGCTAAGATTTGAACCAGGCACCTTCCATATACAGGTCTAGAGCATTACTTTGAGACTGTTCAGTGGTATGTTATTGTTCTTTGATTATTGATTGGAATTTAATGAAAAATGTATTTAAAGAGTGCTGTCTTCTGAGATGCGACACCATGTAGGCTGTGATTGCCTGACAACTTTCAGTGTCATCTCACGTACAAAATTAAGAAAAAATAAAGAAATTACCTGACAGTTAAATGCTAAAACTATGGCACAGACAGACATGACCTCTACAAAGTCATTTAATTTTATTTTGTAAACAGTAACTAAAAATAACAAAGACAAACTAAGGCCTCCTTGTTTCGGAACCTCTTGAACATAAGGTCTGAAATACCTGACAGGTAGTAGTGTGTGAATTGGCTATGTGGGAGTAAGGGAAATATTAATATACTAATATGTGTACCCAAGTAATATACATAATTGTTTTGCTTTCTGCACTGGGGAATCAATTCTACACCTCCTGCATCCATCTCAAGGTTTGGTAACCTAACTGTGATGGTCCACATAACCAGAGTTCAAGCATGTTAACATTTCTGTGGATATAGTGAAAGAGTAACATAATGGTGGGTTAGAAGTTCTGAAATTACATAATTTTGGGTTACCACAGGCACGAATAGTCAAGCGTTGACACGTCACATAAATGTAAGTGATGTGGTGGTCACAAGTAGCACATAACTCTTTCTTTTCATTGTTATGCCTGTTCTGTGAGTGTCGTTAATATTTTGGTGCTGGTGTGTGAAGTGCATTAAGGAGACAATTTACTAATTTTAACTTCATTCATTCTGGTCCATCACGCTAGTCAGTAGTATAGAATGATTTGATTGCATCATCCAGTGTGACTCAGAAGTATATATATATGATGCCTTTACATGTTTCGGTCAGTTGATGACCATCTTCAGAAGGCAAATAACAACACGTTGAAGAAACTACTGTTACATAAACCATATGCTTAACTAATTAAGCACTATGCCATGAAGGTGTATAGGGGAGTGGATGTATAGATCCACATTTTCTTGACCTCAGCACTAGCTGGAGGTGAGTGGTCAGCTTCACACCCTGGCCGCTTTATCCGCGGGGAAAGAGCCCATGGTACCCATTGGATAGAATGTTGGGTGGACCCCAGAACCGGTCTGGATGATGTGGAGAACAGAAAATTCTTGACCCTACCAGGACTCGAAGTCCGACCCCTCAGTCGTCCAGCCCGTAGGCAGTCGCTATACCAACTGCACTACCATAGCTCAGAAGCTAAAATGTGGTGAGTTTATTAGTGTTTTAACTCACCATGCTTTAGCTCAATTTGAAGTCTTTATATATAAAACTTTGGACTACTTTGAACTTGATGTACTGTGATTTATATAATAGTAGTTTCCTCAAGTGTTGTTATTTGCCTTCTGAAGATGGTCATTAATTGACCGAAACATTTAAGGCATCATATATATTGTCGCGTATTGGGGGTATAACGCGACAAATAACTTCACGCCGTATTTTATATAGGGAATCTTATTTCACATTTGCACTTACAATCACCCAAATTACAGATTTACGATTACTGCTATCTGCAGTATCACAAATAGTACACTCCAAATGCCACAAGACAACTGACTAGTTGCTGGCTAACTCGGAACTAACTCTGAGGTAGCTCAAGGACTCACTCGGCGGTAGCTCCAGAACTCGCTGACTGACTGTGAATAGCCTTCGCTGCTCCTTATGTAGCCTTGATCGGACAATTGTTGTCTGGTGCCTTGTTGCTAGCCACGCTGTCCGGAGTTGTTGACTGCTGCCTAGCAACCGCGATATCCCTCGGTGATGTCACCGCTGTTGATTCGCTTTGCATAGCTTCAAGGTCGCGGGGACTCGGCTAACGTCGGCTCCGCTCGGCTCACTTCGGCTCCGCTCGTGACGTCACCGCGCGTTGCGCGTTGCATAGCTACCAGGATGCGGGGTGATTACTCGCCTATTACGCGAGCGCTACGTTACAGCTACGTGCAGCTGGGGAGGTAGGGGTCAACATGTCACAATATGTATATAAATATACTTTTGAGTCACACTGGACAGTGTAATCAAATGATTGCATAGACAATTTACTACTGACTATTTATGTGTGTTGTTCATGGGATATTGTGTTAAGTGACTATAACCTGGACATTAAGATGTCACGATACCGTGCACAGGCGCGAATGCAGAGACTTCTGAATTAATGTTAGATACTGTTTTTGTCAGATTTCGTTAGCCCCAAATTCACTAGCTGTGCTGTGGAAGGGAACTTGTAGGGTCCCAGCAACAAACTTGCTATGGTGTGGCAGGTATCCTCTGACCAGAAAACATTGACCCTGAGCTGTATATGCTCCCTGCAGACATTAACAAAACATGTAAGATTTGAGGTTTTATGGCAGTGACTAAGAAGAAAGCCATCTTCTGGGACGTGGCACCATGTAGAAATTCCTACACGGCGCCACATCCCAGAAGACGGCTTTCTTCATTAACAAAACATGTTTCTTGGTGGAGGCCGTAAAATAGAATGGTGCACACAGATGGCATCCTAGCGGTTCCCACTTCTGTCCCTGCAAACCCACAAGTTAGAACTCAAGAAAACTGACATGGACAGTACAGTTTCTTTGTTAACTGGAAATTAATATTTGTCGAAATTCAGTTGAACTTGCAATGAAATATTGAATCTGTGTTATTTGTTTCTAATTGTTTAGATGACTCAGATGGGGCCACAGGATCCAAAGGTCGTGGTTGTCTCTCGTGAAACAGCTATCAGTTCAGAAGTGGTAAGAAAACAGTGTGCCAGACATCACTGTCAGGATCACTCTGTCATTTGGGTTAATAGTATCTGCCCTCTTAGTGTATCCCATGTCAGAAATGAATTCTACGCTTTTGTCTAGGTGAGCAGAGGCGAGGAAAATGAACAGAAACCCTATCTAGAAGCACTAGACATTTTTATAGCTCAAAATAGCAAAAGGTGAGTGAGCAGGTGTGCTGAAAATAGTGAATAGATTCAGGGTTTGAATAGAATGTTCCCGCATACTGTTACAGTAAAAAGTAAAGTTGTCGCTGTGCTGAATTATTTAAGCATGAAGACGCGGGGGAGTGGCTGTCCAGCCCATAGTCCATCGCTATACTGACTGAGCTATCCTGACTCCTACTGTTTTGGTATAGGATTTGATGTTCTTATGGTAGAGAACATGGACGTCTGTCTTCCAGGGTAGAGACACCCTATAGTCCGATAGGTATTGCCCGGATATTCAGGGTTGAAGTACGAAGCCTGCAAGAATCAGACAGTAAAGAGAGGCAATGCATTTCTCTGAAACGTCAGACTTCTACCCAACCACCCAGCATTGCATCCTGGAAGGCAATACTCTTCATAGTCATTGCTGTGGGAACCTCGAAGCAAAGTTAAATTGAATTATTTTGTTGCAGGACCAGCTCAAATCTGAGTGTAAATTTTCAGAAAGAACCAGCGATGTCTGAAAAAGGACCCATTGGCAAGAACTGGGCAAGAAAATCATTTCTTTACCTGGTTCACATGGCAGGGAGCTATCATATACATTTTGGTAACAGTTGAATCAAACAGCTGTGTTGCAGACTACTTGTATCGAAGCCTGGATCGTTATCATTTGTGTCCTCTTGTAACACACTGCATCAACTGAGACCTTGAAAATATGTATATATATATACTTACATGAGCAGGTATAGTATACACCAGTAATCCTTATTATAAAGAAATGTTCTTCCAAGATAATATGATATAAGATAAGTGGTTTTTATGGACGTAGAGTCCAATGTGAACAGTGTTTCAGCCTGCCAAACATGAATTGCTGTCATCCGTGACATTGAACTGTATGTAATGCCCAGTTAGGTTCATGCATAATGATATCAAAAGAACGAATTTGATTCATATAAAGTTATTTATATTCAGATAATGTACAGGCACTGACTATTACCATGAACAGTCATTAATTTTCATTCAAAAGTGAAGCTGGAAAGTATAATTTGACTTAGAAATTCTTAAAATGACCTTATTAAATATATGGAATCATAAAGATGAAATCCTCAAGAATCTATTCAGTACATGCAACAGCCTTTTCTCTCAACACCAGACCAAAGGCCATAATCCTGCTTCTTATGCAAAGAGCACCATGTTAAAAAACAAACCCAGAGATTGGCTATCCTGTGTTAAGGATTTTCATGGTTTGTGTAAGTCCTGCCAGGCTAATATCAAATTTCAAATTAGGCTGTAACCACTTCCTTCTCCTCCCTTTCCAATTAATTATACTGTCATTTGATGATGACTGCCTATGTGGTCTAGTGCTCAGAGGTCCGGGTTTGATTCCCGGCACTGCCAGATTTTCTGAGAAGTAGTGGGTCTGGAACGGGGTCCATTCAGCCTCGTGAGAGAATGCTGTCTTTACATTTACCATTTCTTGACAGGTATTATTGGTAATAATTTTATAACCATCTGAAATGTGAATGAGCTGGTGTTTGAAGTTCAGTTATTCAGCAGACTTGAGGCTCCTACAGTGGTGGCTTCTGGGATGCGATGCCATGCAGTCTGGTAGAACTTAACTGACATTTCAGAGGAATGAAACAAGTAGAATGGAAAGGTGGAAAGAGAAGAGTAACTGGTACTGGTTGCCTGCTAGGCTTACTCTTCATCCCTGAAGATGGAGGCAGTATGTTCCTCCAAAATACCTGTAAACCTGTACCAGGCTACCTCAAATATCAGATCCTCTTTGCTGGACTGAGTCTGCATCTCACAGTATAGAACCCACTTCCATTCAGTGAGACCACCTTTCCAGGTTTTATAAGGTCTTGATCGTTTCAACCTGGCCCTTCACTGCTACCACCCCAGGGTTAGATTGGGCAGTCAACAAATGGCTGACAGTCCTTGAGCAGAAACTTTAGGACCCTTCCACCAAGATTTCATGAGTAGGATTATAGTACCAAAGCATAACCTAAAATCTACCTCCCTCTTTCCATAGCTGCATCATTGGTAAGCACTGGAAGATTGTGTCTATAGAAACAGACGTGCTTATCAAAACTTAACCTTCTCACATCCTTTTTATCTGGAACATCTCTCCTACCAGCTATGAATTAACTTTTTTGAAAATCTAAGAAGAAAAATGCTTTGGCAGGGGAAGACATAAAACTCCTGCATTCTGTTCCTTTAAACAATCAACTAGAAGAGATGTCAAAGAATGTACAGAGAAAAGGCATAACAACTCGGTACATGGTGGTAATGTGACAGTAAATTGCATAAATTTGGTGCAGGAAGCCTCACAACAGTAGACCTGTACCAGAAATTGTCTACTGTTCTAACTGCTTTTAAAGTTACATGTCTAAATTGTGGTTTAACTGTTCTAATGTTGCTGCAATAGAATTATTTGCTCTAATAATAGCTGGTTTATCTGTTTTATTAATTCCAATAATATCCAGCAGAGGGTAGGAAAGGATTGAGGCATGGTAAAACACTGTTTTGTTTTACATTAATGTTTGACTTCCACTAGTTGTGGTAATTAGTGTGCATAAGCTGTTAGCACTAGCATGGCAGTATGGGTCCATGTATAATTGGTGTTAGTGCCACTTCAAGTATGGGCATCATTTGTGTCACCAATGTGTCTCATCAATATTATCCCATTTTCCTTGTTAAGTCTTCCAGTGGAGGTTTGTGTCTCATCAATATTATCCCATTTTCCTTGTTAAGTCTTCCAGTGGAGGTTTGTTACTGCAAATCATAGAGGTGGCAAAGGTCAAATAAAATGTTGGAGAATAGTTTTTAATACATTTTTGGTAAAGTTTTTGACTCTCATGAATATTTTAAATTGAATTTACTTCATACAGAATCTTCTAAAAGTCTGAGAGTTATCTGAAAACCTGTAATTATTACATTGTGTGTGAGAGGAAGGAAGTTTCAAGACAGTTTAGGTGAAAGGATTGTTCAAATGAAACATGTTTGGGGATTGTTCTGGATGAAGGAGTAGAGGCCATTAAAAATAAGGCTAATGGGCACTGAGATAGCCATCTTTTTGATGCACCAGCTGATAAATCTCCTCCGTGAAGAATTCCTTGGCCTTCTGCTGGAACCACTGCACCACTGCAGTTAGGCCAAATGCATGAACTTGATTCATTTGAACATGCCTTGTATATAAGTACATGCAAGGAATAATATTGACGGTCCTCCAACATTTCAGCAAACATTGCCTTTACATGTTTAGGGTTAATGCATATGGAAGGTTTTGGAAGTCCTTAAACAGAGCTCGTCATAATCACTGAGTCGGAGGTGAAGCCATCATTGGACGAAAGTGAAGATGGCTACTGCAGTGTTTGCTGAAGTGTTGGAGAGCTTTCAGCATCAGGCATGACATGTTCCCAACAGCTAAATTCATACATGAATTCCAGCTGCAAACAAATCAAAAGACAGGAATATTGGACTTGTTTATAAAATTTATATTTTATATCCATTTGTGTACTTTATTTACTCTGTGGACTCTTTCTTTACATAGGGACCAAACCTTAATTAACGTGGCTCAGAAAAAATATGTGCCAGATGTGGTTCATATAGAGGCCTTGTAAGGTAATAAGAATCACGATATAGTGGGTGTGTTAGGCTGCGGATGATTTACAAATAGTTCGTACGCAGTCAGACCGTCAACCACATGGTCAGTTGTATCAAGATGCATTTCCGACTGTCGTGTTGCACAGTGATGTGCAAATTTCCATATTTTTGTTAGAGTTGCAGTCCTGAGAGCAGTTATGTAATTCAAAATCGAGTAACTAGTAACATTCGTTACTCTTTTGGTTTCTCTGCCTTAAATTTTTACTAAAAATATGTAATTGAATTAACTTTAATACCAAGATTACTGCCTTTTAGCGTTTTGACACTGTGTAGTCAATTAGAAAATCATCAGTTTTTCACAGGAGCTTTCTGTTTCCATCTTCAAAGTAGAAGAATTCTTCTAATGGATATGCAAATCTGATATAAGATATACGAGTATATGATAAGTGGATGGATGGAAATATTTGTTGAACATGAAGATGGAAGCAGTAGCTTCCTCCGTAACACTGGTAACTTGTCTACCTTACTACATGGTGTCACATCACAAAAAATGGCAATGCATAGTATAAATCAAATATATTCTTGTGAGATCTTACAAAATGCGACATGCACCACAGTTACCTTCATGAGAATTTTGAGAGGTTTTTTAACTTGTCACTCAGTGCGTAGGTTCGTAATGTGGGATAGAAATATTCTCATATTTGTGGAATGTAGTTTCAGTTGAGCTGAGACAAGTAACAGCTCTACGTGTAAACCTTCGAAAAATAGTTCGTTACACTGTATTTTCTGGGTGAAGCAAAATTTCAAATAGTGAGTTCACAACTAGGCACGAATTTGTGTAATTTTTTATTTTGTGAAGGATTTTATCAATTAACAGAGAGGCAGATGAGAAACACAGGTAGCTTCTCTACAAGATAGTTCAGTTCCCAGGTTGAGAACCACTGACGTAGTAGTGCAGAATTTTAATTGTACCAACTTACCACGTGTAAACAGTGGGAAATAGCCGGGGAGTTTGTGTGTTCCTTAGGTTGGTGTACTGTTACAATCTCAGTAATTGTTTGTGAACATAGCTGCCTTCATTAAATTTCTAAACATACTTTGTAATGTAGTTTAAATTGATGACATTTACGTGAATCGCGTTCATGTCAGTTGGTATTATAAAGTATTAATAATGATTTATTGAAACCAGTTCTATGAAGAGTATTAAGGCAAATTATATATTGTACAGTTTTCATAAAATGACAATAACAACATAACCAAGGTTATATATGTACAAAATGTTTTACAATTGTAATGGAAAATTGTGTGAAATTTGAAAATTTAAAATGTCTACCAATTCTGATCTAAAATCTACAGTACAATAAACCATTTCAGATTTTATGTGGAAGTTCTAAGGTTCATGCGCCTTCAGTTTTGTATTACATTTTATTTCCTTTTGTCTTGATGTCTTACACATCTTGTTTTGTATCATTAATATCCTAAAATATAAAAATAAGAAATGATTATGTTATATTGCTCAATTCATATGTTTCTTGTATGGTGGCTAATTGAAAGTAACAATACAGAACCTGTTGTTCATAAAGTCTCCTGTTCTTGTCATTTCTGTTTTCTAGGTTCACCAAGGATTTGCTGAAGATCTGTTCATGAGTGCAGATTGCATGTCTTGGGTTCGGTAATTCGTCAGAGACGATAAGGGAAACGAATCCATCCCTTTGCCCATGTGTCCCTCAAACCACTAATCCAGCAATGCTAGAATTCAAGTCAGCCAACATCACGGGTGAATGGTTGGCACTTCTTCATATTTATGAGGTCCCGGGTTCAAATCTAGACTTGGAAGTCGGCTGTCGTGATGGAGGTTGTTATGATTTTTATGACAGGTTAGTACCTTGATTAGTCCATGATCATTTCCTTCAAAATCCTTTCTAGTTCGCATCAGTTATCCTACCATTTGTAGCTATTTAGCCTAGATTCTGAGAGCGTCAGAGGAAAGACCATGATAGGAAATACATGGCAGAGGATCCAAATAGCCATGCTCTTCTTCCCCTCTTGCTTGCACAATCTGGTCAATGAATGCTAATGCCCTGATTACATTGGCATGGGTATGGGTCCTGTGGGAGAACCAGTTGTAGAAATTGGGAGATCTAGTCTACATAATTGGAGCAAACATCGGCTCAAATAGAAATATAATTGAAAGTTAAAAGAGTTTTGAATGCTTTTGATATTTTGCAAATGAGTAGACACATCTTACAAAACATAATCAGAATTCAGATGTATTATGTTTCTGGACATTATCCATATATCCATCATCCTGTTTCTATCTAAAACATTGTCCTGTTTTTATTTAAAAACAACGTTTCTGAGACTTGGTTCTGTCTGCAGAGATAGGGACTAGCTGTTTCAGTTGGGCCCAGTGAGTAGGTTTTAAAGGAAGCACCATAGCTCAAGCGGTTAGTCGCTGCTTTCCCACCGTGGCGGCCTGGGTTCGATCCCAGGTCTGGTCAAGTGGGATTTGTGGTGCGCAAAGTGGCACTGGGGCGGGTTTTCTCCAAGTACTTTATTTTCCCCTGCCAATCTTCATTCCACCAAAATCTCCATCATAATCACCCGGGGCAGGTACAGTAGGTCAATCAGTGGCCGTCGTGCCGAGTGGACCCAGCTGGACTCCACCCCTCACTAAGTGGGTAGGTTTTACCTGAAGATGGAGACAGAATCCAGTCTTTGAAACGTGTTTTTAAATAAAAACAGGGCGATAGATAATGTTCAGAAACAATATTTGTATTAATGTGCCATTGTCACAACATTTTAAATCTTAAAATCTGAATATGTGTACTGTGCCATGTTGCAGATTGCTTCCACATATAGTATGTTCCAAATTAGTGATAAGCTATGTGGAAGTAACCATATTTGCATAGGTACTTGGCAGGGTTAATCCTTATTTATATAGTGACACTTTTGTTCAAGAGTTGCACCCCGAAAGATTGAGGCTGCAGGTTCCTACGAAACACCCATATATGGTGTCATGCCAAGTTTATTGTAATTTTAAATTTCACTACCGTGGGAGCCTCAAATCAGATAGCACCATAATCTTTCTGTTTGCTTGTTTAGCACATCTTTGTGCCTAAACATGGAAGCAGTACATTCTTTTGAAACATTGGTCAACTTGTACCAGTCCACAAGGTGTCAGATCTTTTCAAGTTGGTTTCGATAATTTTTACGCACATTTGAAAACTTTGAAGACCAAGTATTAAATTCAGTGTGTCCTCCTATAGCATAAAACTCAAGAACCTTCAAGTGAATGTTCATGAAATTTTGTAGTGGGTAGTTTTACTCAGATTTGTAAATGTACTCAGATTTTTGTTAAAGTAGGATAAATATATTTGATACTCTTTGCTTGCAAACTTATATGGAGTTTTGCATTTATCAGGATTGTAGCTGGCTAAATATTGTAACAAAAAATTTTGCCCGCATAAATTGTGGTGAGAATTGAGTTACACATTTTATGTCCACTGTACTTTTTCAAATAGCCTGATGATCTGTGAGATAAGTAAGAATAGTTTCGCTCAACATCGGTCTTCAGAACACATGCAAAGACTAATGAAAAATAAGCAGCACTTTTCCGAACAGCTGTACCTCAGAAGCCGTTCGGAATAGGACACCATTTTTGCTTAGGATGATCGATAATGTGACGTCCCAGAATATTGACCTTTCCTCCTGAGACACTGTATAAGAGAGCACTGAAAGTTATCATTCACAAATTGAAAATCCTGAGTCAATAACGAATGTGTCAGAATTCTCACGGCATTGACTTAAGAGCGCCATCTTATGAGCTATGATGTCTTGTAATCTGGTATAAGTTCACGGCTGTTTCAGAGGAATGCACCGACTCCATCATTAGGAATTGAAGAATAAGCAAAGCAGCTAGCAAAACATGGGCAATAAGCTATTTACTTGACTTACTCCTCAGTCCTCAAGATGGAGGCAATATGTTGCTTATAAACATCAATAACCTATTGTTCTACACAGTGTCACATCCCAGAAAATAGTACTTTGAAGTAAAGTTGTTTGTGTGCTTAATCAGGTAAGCATCACTACATGAAGACATATGGGAGAGTGGAGGTTTAGCTCCACCATTTTTCACCTCATAGGTGAGCGGTCAGCTTGATTGCCTGGCTGCTTAACCCCCAGGGAAAGAGTTCCCGGTACCCACTGGATAGGAGACTGGGTGGGCCTCGGAGCTGGTGTTGGAGTTTCATATTCTAACTAGTTTGTGAATGCTGTTTGCACT